TGACAAATAGCTATCTCTTTATTACTTCTGTTGCTGTTTCGATTGGGCTGAGTTTTACTCTAGTTTTATGAGCTCTGTGCGTCTGACCTCCACTCCTGAGCTCATACTTGGGAATTGCTCTAAGTATCATCATACTCTATTATTTTCAGTTCTGCTTCCTTGCTCTCTTTTTTCTACTTGCACAATGCTCAATTGCTTACCACTTTTATATCCAGTGAAGGCCTTGATAAATGAAATATAACGTCTGTTTAAGTGCTTGCATCTTATTTCTCTATATTCAATCTATTTAATAGAAACATTTATTTTGGAGATTTTATTGGAATTACCGTTATGACCGTGTAATACTAGAAAGTTAGATGATGGAGATTCTCTAGCAGAGATAACTCCACTCAAGAATCCTTACTCCTTCGGAGTTGCTTCTTGTACTTGTCTATTCCGTCTTGTTCCAGTATACATGTAAACAATATGGAATGGAACAACTATGGAAAACGTGGCCCTAGATTGTAAACACATCCCTACACAAAGCTTAATGACAATACATGATTTATTTAGTCGACTCCTAAGTTGGGACCTTTGTTGAGCCGAATTGGAAACCACCTAAACTGTCTTATTTCATGTGTTTGCAAGGATATGGTGCCACCCAAAGATCCCTACATCAAGGTGAGGGTGCTAGATGATATTGGTAATGTTGTGCTTAGTGATCAATTAGCCAACCTAGCTCGCCACGCAATTCTTTTTCTTAGGCGAACTGATGCTGAGCAGTATATCTCTCAGGTGTTTCATCCTTCTAACTTTTATTATCTATTTCTACTATGAGGATTTGCCAAGTCTTAACTTTCTCAGTATGCTCATGGTCAACAGGGTTTAATGGAAGAGCTCACTGGCTGACCTAACTGTTGCAGTCTTCCAGTATTCACGATTAATGTTGCTTATTACCAGACCAAAACTGTACTGAACTCCAGTAAAATCAACAGCTTGGAGGTCTGTATGGTCCACATGGCGAAGTCCATGAATGAACAATATCTTCATGGAAAAGCAAGTGGACTTATATCAAGAATGGTCTAACTTGACTGTCATCTACCATATGTGAAAACTTTCATTATAAATTGCCATGTAATTGAAAAAGAAAAATCTCTATTCATGCTTTCATTTGTTGATAGAGACTGAAGAATCTAATGTGGATGCCCTTTGGTTACTTCATTCATAAATTGGCAGATATCTGTTTTCTCTACAGTAAATGCCATCTTTCTTTTTTGAAATTTTTTGGACAGTAAAAAATAGGATAAATTACAAATTATCCCCTTTTAACATTGGAAATATTGCAACTCACTCTTTCGGGGTTTAATTTTGATAAATAGCTCCTTTAAGTTCAAATATTTTGCAATTAACTTTAATAATTTTTTTAGATAATAAAAATTGACAAAAGTTGGGCATGTTGAAAAGAAATAATTATCTTTACACCTATTTTTTCCTGTGTACCAAATATTTGTACTTTTCTTTTTACCCTTTACACCTATCTATTTTCTCTTATCTTGAATGGTTAACTCTCATTTCCTCTCCTCTCCTCTTCTGGTAGAACCGTGGAAGCCTTCTCTTCCTTATGAAGAGGAGGCGAAAGTTTCCTTATTTTTTTGTCTTGGCTTTTTTGTTTTCTTATTTTTTTAGGGACAAAATTGGTATCTTTGAAAAAAAAAACAGAGAAATAATGTACAAGATTGAAGGTATAATAGTTCTTTTAGGTGTTCAACTACTGTTATTAGTCAATTTAATCTACTTGAAACTTGGAAAGGATAAATTACATCATTTGAAACCAGAAAAAAATTGATTGCAATAATGGATATAGTTGGCAGATGCAGATTGTAATTAACCCTAAAGAATAAGCATTGCATTGCAGCAAAATGGCTTCAGGTGCACAAAATTACAAATCATACAGTCAGAAGACAGGAAGAAGCCAGATTTGGGTGAAGAAGCACACCTTTAATGGGGAAAGTTTGCAGTTTCTTGCCTCTTATTGAACAACCATCAACCCAAAACCATTCCCATTTACCCTTATCTACATCTCTCCAAAACACCATTCCTGACCCAAGATCCCTATAAAGACATACTGCACCATCAATTCCCACACACTTAGTACTACCCCAACTTCTCTTTTCCCCTAATAATCTCATCCCCAATTCAAATGGCACCTTCTCAATCAGGCACCAAATATCATCCTCATCAAGCTCCCATATACGTGCCTCACCATCGCACGTGCCACCGACCAGTGTCAAGTTCCCATTTCGTGGCACCAGTGTCGCAAACTCGAGCTTATTTGCCATTGGTACACTCAATTCCCTCCACCTGTTTGATCCAATGTAGAAGCCCATTATACTATAGGCACGGGCAGAGGTAATCCAATAGATGACCCCATTGGCATACACACTCTCATTGGGTGTCCAGACAGTTAGCCTAACCGCAAACTCAACTGGCATCGATTCGATAACCCTCCATGTGTCATGTTGTGAATCGTACATTTCCAATGTGGGTTCGTACGAGGCACCACCAGCTGGTGCCTCCGACATCCCTCCGGCAACATAGACCTTAAAGTTATGAACCGGAACATGATGAGTCGGGTCCGATTCTACCACGGCCACTGCTGGATTGGTCCGTGGCACTTTCAGCATTGGGAGGTGCCTAAATTGCCTAGTAAATGGATTGCATATGGCTAATTGGAGGGCTGAGGTACTAGTAGCTCTAAAGAGTACAAGACCACGAATGGAAGCAATGGGTCGTGTTGTGTCGGGAATGAAATCGAGAGAGAGGTGGTGCCAATTGTTGTCGACTGGATTGTGAGCATAGCATGAGAGGCCACGGTGGCGCGTTGGCAAGGCTATGAACCATGAAGGGTGGTGCCGCTGCGTCTCCGTCGAGTACTTGGCACACGTGTGCCAATGCCGGTTGGCCGACCGGGCACATGCCAAGGAATCTGGAGAAAGGAAAGAGAAGATGTAGGCAAGGAGATCAAAGGGGAGATTGCTCCACATAGTATGTTGGGCCAGGTACTAAGGTTCTTGAACGAAGATGACATGGATGTGTATATATAAGCAAAAAGCCCGAGTTTTGGTGGCTGAACTATTATTGAAGGTGAATTATTGCATTGCATAGGGATGGGTGAGCCACAGAAACTAAATCTGACCCACATGTGAGTTGAGTGTTCAGTTATTTTATCTGTTTCTGTACCTCCTCTGTTATTCTTTGTCCATTGTTAATACAAACGAGATGGTTCTTGGAAGGTCTCAAAGGGCAAGAGAAATTAATAAAAAATGTCCTTTTTCTTTGTTCTCTCACTGTCATCATGCTTTTAAGCTTTTCTTCTACGCTTAAGAGTTTTATGGACATTGTAATTAATTTTTTTTTAACTCAAATTGAAGACAAGTTCAAAATTATAGTATTTATGAGTAAATTTATCATAGTTTAATCCTAAAAAATTATCAAAATTTGAATTTAATATAATTAAATTTACAACTCACTCGTATTACCACTTAATCTTTCCTTAAAATTTTTAGAGTTTTCTCCTAATTATATGAAAGTTCAAGGTCCCAAGGAAGACGCTCTCATCATAACTACCCCAAGAAAATGAGGATTATAAGAACATTATTAGGTCTACAGTTTCATCCCACTTTCACAACTATTAACTAGGTGGGTCACCTTGTAGTTGCTTGAATTGTAATGCATTGAAACAGGGCTATTTCAGATTTGTATCTTTTTCTATGTATTTATTCTGATTTTTTTTTGAATAATAAATTAGGTATCTTCTATTTGTGCTGGATCTACTTGAATTAATTGTGGTAAATATGGGACTAACGGACCGGGGAGGAGATATGAATCTGAATGATGATGTCACTGTTCATCAACACTATTTGGGACTATTTGCAATATTATCGTAATCGAATTGGTCATCGAACCGATAAAAAGATTGGATCAATGGTTTATTGATTTAACCTTTGGGTCAACTGGTCAGACCGTTTATATAATAAAAAATATAAAATAGGCCTAACATAGATACAATTCACAATAAAATTAATAAAGTTAAGTAAAAAAAATAATTTACAATAAAATTAATGAAGTTAAGTAAAAGATACACTTGTAGCTTGCTAAATGCTGATTGTGCTGTGGCTAGGAGGACTTCTTTTGATGGTTCGATTGAACTCAATATGTCTGTTGAACCGGTCCGGTCTGATCTAATTCCGATAACTATTTTTTTTGTCAAATATATAACCGGGGAATGTCTCTGTACTTGGGAAAATTTAATGCGATCTCTACTTTTAAAATTAATTTTACGAATCAACATAAAAGAAGAGTCTTGAAAACACATTGAATTAATTCATCCAAACACCGAATGTAAGATCCCATGAGATGAATGCAAATTTTTTTTTATACAAAATACTACGCAACCCAAATTAGAATTACAAATGACAACCCAAATGAACGAGGATTATTGAATGAGTAGATCTCATCAATTTTTTTAATTAAGATCTACTAATTCAATGGTTCTTATTGGTTTGAAATGTCAGTCGAGATCACAAATTTAGGTTGTGCAACATTGCTCTTTTTTATTTTAATTTTTTTTTACTAACAAGAAAATAAACAAGTATGTTAGATTATTCGGCTAATAGAAATTATAGGGATTTAAATCTCTTTCAATCTTTTTTTCCTCTATTTTTTTTAGCAGATCATTCACCATTAATAAGTAAAATACGAACATATATACAACAAATTTTACTTGAATTTATGGTGTATGATGTAAAAATGGAATAAAAAAGTGTTTGGTACATGCCATTAATTATGATCTAGTTCCATAAATTAATCACGCGTTAATCACAAAACACAGCTCATGAGACGTGGTTAGCACGTGCTTGACACGTGTACCTAACCTAAAGGAAGAATGGCCCTCAACTCACCTCCGCCTTAGTGGGCCCCAAAAAGATGATCCATGTTCTTCTTCAAAACTACCCGCCACCATGGCTTCATCAAAGAAAACGGCAAGAATCATTTCCCGCATTGCTTCTCGCGTATATTTCCTCCTAATTATCTTTCAAATTCCTCTTTTCAGGTAATTTAATTGCATTCAATATCCCATAATTTCCTGTTTTTGTTCGCTTAATCTATGAATCTAAATGCAGTTTGTGTTCGTCAATTAATTTATTTCATCACTTCGATCCGTGTTTTCGTTAGTTTATTAATTATCATTTTCCATTGGAGAAAAAAAATTAGATCGGTAAAAAATCTCATAATGCTAAACTCTATTTGAAAAATAATAAAAAAATCCTCTTTATTTATCTACTTCATCATCAGACTGTTAGTCGCAATATTATTATTATTTTTTTAAATTTGTGCAACAAAAATATTTCTTGTGTTGATTTCTGTTTTTGTCCAAATAAAACATTTTTGATTTTTTTCTGAAAATATTGTTCAACAATATTTGATAATTTCTCTCAAATTACCCTGCATGTTTAGGAAATTTAATATCAAAACCAACTGGATTTTTTTGACTTTCTTACATATTTTGTAGTATATATACACCATCGTCCACTGGAAAAAAAATATCCCCTCTTTTGTTCTTCTCATTAAACAACTATGGACATGATGCCTCAATTTTATTTTAACAAGTATTTCAGTAATGCTCATCAAGTTGTCTCTATGGTCTCTGAATTTAGATATTTGTTTTTTTTTTTTTTGGATTCAATGGTCAGAGGGTCAGGCCAGCTTACGTGCAAATCAACTAATTCTTNTTTTTTTTTTTTTTTGGATTCAATGGTCAGAGGGTCAGGCCAGCTTACGTGCACATCAACTAATTCCTTCCTCAGTCTGGTCAAAAGCAAGTCATCCATGGATTATCAAGATTCGAATTCAGGACGTTTGAATTTACAGTTTGTTAATGTTATTTGATTAATAAACTTTCTCACTCTCTTTATTGAGCTCAGTCAGATATGTGGTTCAGTGCAACAGGGCCAAAAACCAGTTTGAACAACTTTGATTCTTGTGGAAAATGGAAGAATCATGTTAGAAATTAGTATTGTTTAATAAAGTCGACGAAATACTATTGCTTTCCTCAATATATCCACCTTGATCTCCACTGATTTTTGCTACTTATAGTAAAAAAAAGGAAATAGAAAACTGCTATAGCTGCTATTTACCATTTCCATTACATCTTTGACCCTCATGTTTAACCCAAATCTTGAATATATGAAATAATTAGCTAACCGCATGCATGGGAAGAACCTGAATTTTATGTGTTGAACGCGACCCAAACTCAAGACATCTTGATCCTTATTCAACCACTGAACAAACCCGAGTGCATTGCCATTTAAAACTTATATGGACTGCTTGAGCTCTGTTCGACTATTATAGATTTTTGACTGCTTGTGCTCTGTTCGACTATTATAGATTTATGACTGCTTGAGCTCTGTTCTTTGTTTCATAGATTGCCATGCAGAATTGGTACCTGTACATCACCAATAGAGGTGACTTCTTCTCAGTTGATTGCAAGTAAAGTCCTTCCTGCAGTTGTAGTGAAATCCCTTCTCTACCCAGGAGCCATTGCAAATGCTATTGTAAAGGAAAAGGCCATCCCTGGCTATGATAACCTGCTAAATGCATATAAATTCCACCATGCCAAGGAAGGTCCTGCCACAACTGATCTTCAGCACCTGGAGGTTTGTATTCTCCAGCAGTTATTTTTCAATGCATATGCCTCATGGGAGAACTGAGCTAGTTTTTCTCATTTTTTTTTTTTTGGTCTATTTCAGAAAAATGGATAGCCCATTCATTAGACTCTAGCCACTTACATGATTCATCTCTGAGTGGTAATTAAGTCATGTTATTCTTGCTCAGTGACATATTCAAGTCACGTCCTTTTTTTCAAGATCTTATTATGTTAGGGTTAACATAGTTAACTCGTGAACCCAAAATCCCAAGACTAGGACTATTTTTTGTCCATTAAATTCACTAAACGTTTGGTCTCTTATCAATTAAAAATCTATTTGATCCACATTCTAGTAAACCTAAATCAAAAACCACTACTAACAATTCAGCCAATATTAGATAAGAAAATAGACAAAAACTAAATACAATACCATCTAAATGTGTTTATCATGTCAAAAATCGAGTTATTCTTACTTGGTACTAATCCAAACTATTTATTATTTGTGTTAACGAATCATGTTATTTTGGTGTTCATGTTATGTTGGGTTTTCTTTGCTCCAACTCCACCTATACTTCTTTTTTGGGTTGCACCAGATTCTTGCAGGAAGCTACTTGTGTGTGGCAGGAGCATTCTTAGGCATCATAAAACCAAGCAGAGTGGGCTTGTTTGGGATATGTCTCCTCATGTGGGGACTCACCAAGGAACTCTCTCTCCTGAAACATGCAGCCAGCGATCCGACCAAAGCTATTTATTTCTATCCAACATTCTCAATTGCTGTTGTTTTGGCCTTCCTTTCTGTTAGAGGAGATGTCAGAAAGATAATCCGCAGTTGCAAACCTAAGCGCATTGCTCATCCATTCTGGACCTATGCAAAAGCGAAAAATAAATGAGTTCGAACGCCCATAAGGTGTGACTACATTCTCAAATCTATGTTTTTTTTCACGTCGTTGTATTGTCTGAGAATTTTTAACGTATTAGTTTCTGTGGCACACGCGATGGCTGATTAACTAACAATTGATAGGGAAGTAGGTCAAGATCAAGTCTAAATTGGAATGGATTTTGTACACGTGCCACAAATATTTGTTACCTAGGTTGAAAGTGAGAGGACGTATTCGATTCTTTTATTTTTTTTGACTGTAACCATATGTTTTGAGCTGCTACGGCAGGTGTTTGACCCATCGTGATCCCTTATTTTGGGTTCTGATATCCTTTATTATTATTTTTCTCAATTTTTCATATTGATATATCACTTTGTATTGGTGGGGGATCCACTTAATATGTAGGAGACCCACTTGAATTTATGACGGTATTTGCATTACAGAAAATTGTGAAAAAAATATATTAAAAGTGTTCCAAATCCAATTGTTTTACGCACCAACAATGCCCGAGTAAATTTATCTTTTTTCTTTTTTCGGTTTTGACAGTTTCTCAAAATGATTGCATTGAGTATTAAATTATTTAACTCAAACAAGTCTTCTCTCAACATTTTTGGAATCGGATAGTGAGAAATCTAACTAAGAATGCATTAATATCAACAAAGGAACCCTTGAATAGCATTTATAATCCAACAAGTAGTGAATCTCACTCAAAACCCCGTAGAGATGAAAACCCCATCTTCGGGAAAACAAAAAATTATAGAAGACATTCTTAAAAACTTCAGCTGCCACAATCAGAAACTATATTGAAAATGAGTCTCTAAAGGGGGTATGCAAAGTAATTCCCCTCAGCTGTTGATAATAGCTGTACAAGTAGTTCACCACTCTTAAGAGACAATTGGCATGTCCATTATCTCAGTATTGTGACAACTGAGTAAAGTCGGTCACTCTATTAACAGCCTCAAATTGACCAAATTGCAATTCCTTTGAACTTGAAGTATGATATATGACACGAATCAAAATTAAATTCAAATTCCCACTTTGGCCGATGAACAGTGCACAAGGGGCAGAGCATCAACCCAATCTGCATAGATGCCATTGATCTTCTCAACTTCTTTACGCTTGAATAAGCACTTCTTACCTTGCACTTGCCGTTTTTCACTTTCCATCCTGGTTTTAGTGACTGATCCATCATTGGCAAGGGTAGCAAGAGCTTTTGAAGGGCAAACATTCCCAGATTCCAATGCAAGGTGAGAGCCAATCTTGTGTAGTTCTATCAATAAAATTAACGTGTTAGGCTAACCAAAAGTTTTTCCACCCTTACAGACAATAGGACATCTTTCCATAGAGAAAAAACAACTCCGAGATTAAAACTAGGGCCTCTAGAAAATTGTTGTCATCTGTATAAAACACAAGGTGATATTAACTTCCTACTTCTGGATAAAAGAAAACTAAGGAGATCATTTTGGTTGGTCGAGTAACATGAGGATCTTATGAAAGCCTTTTTAGTTCAGGTCTTGTCACAAAATTCGCGTGTAACTATAGAGAGTGAGAAGGGGTGGGGGTGACAAAAACAATGCTATTTCAATCCTCCACAATAAATCATGTTGAAGGCCAAAACTTTCTGCATTTGTCCTCTTTTACTAAACCTATAATGTCCCTCAATACGTAATGGATAACTACCAAGTAGAGAAATGCAATTCATGTTTCCTCACAGAAAATCTCAAATGAAAAATCAATTCACAAGTGCAATCAGCTATGCTGTGTTATCTACCTATTGACAGTTTGACACCATCTAACATCCAAGTGCTTCAAGAAATGGAACCCAAGATTTGGCTGAGACCGAACGCCCCAGAAAGAGAACAAAGGTTTCAATAAGATGAAATAATACTGTCTGAGAGATGACATAAGCCATATATCTGTGGATTAATAGCCCGTAAATGTAATAAAAAGAGTTATTATGCAACCAATAATCTTTTGACTGACTGGTTTGAGCAAACCCAGGCAACAGTATTAGAGTAAGCTTGAAAATTTCAAAGCAAGAAGAATTAACAATCGATAAATCAAGCAAGTCACAGTTAGAATACCTGCTTGTCCATGAGCAAAGTAACATTTCACGCCATATGGGCAATTACCAGTTCTCTCCCACTTGTTACAGAGCCTCGTCTTCCAATAGATTGGCTTCTGATCCTGTTGTTTATCTCTATTTGTTGAATTCCCAAACATCTGGCATTCCCATTGTTCATACCCATTTTTGCAATCCCCTGCAGACCCAGTAGTCACAAGGTTTAGTTCCACACTCTTCCTAGACAGACCCAAATCTCCCTTTACTTTCTGGAGACCTACATGAAGAAAATGGCATCTATCCCCATATGGGCACTCTTTTCCATTACAGAACTTCCTACACAGTTTCATTTTACTGATAATCCTGTGATCCTCATTGGTCAAAATGTCAATGTCAGTCATTTTATATGGTAGCCTCCGGATTTCTTCAACTCCATGGGCAAAGTGACACTTATCCCCATAAGTGCAATTACCCCTTCTGTATAGCAAGCACATTTCAGTCTCAACGGTACAAGTCATCTTCGCTCTTTTCAGTGGCATCCTTGAATCCAATATTGGTCTAGAAAATCCAGGCCTCTTGGAAGATTGGTGCTCAGAATAAGAAATATTTTCACATTGTTGGTCAGAAACCTGAAATTGGGGGCAGTGCTCAAGACTATAGGCATCGAATTGCATGGGTGCAGTGAGAAATTGAGGATTATAAGAAGAAGCAACGCTCATATTTACAGTACGTAGTGTTTCTGGGTTTGAAACCGATGAAACTTCACTGATTGCCCTTCTGAGGTTTATAATCGAATGATGAACATTTTGCAAAATTAGGGAATACCCAGATTGGATTTAGAGAATTACTTGAACCCAGAACGTGTAAATCATATAAATGTCCATTAGTTCATAGAAAAGTATGAACAGATCCTCCTGAATGAGCCTTGATTTGTGAAGAAACATTTAATCTGTGTGAAAATTTACATAAACGTTAAAACACCATCGTTGAAGTTTGAAGTGGAAGGAAATGACTTCCCAAAAAGAAGTGGAAGGAAATGAGAAACAAAACTCTCATTTGCTCGGAGAGAGTAAAGAAGGATGGTAAATGACGAGAATAACCCTCATAGATGAAACATTTGGGAGCTAGGGCTGCAACTTGAGTTGGGCAACCGATTTTAATCCGAGTTAAATTCAAAAAAATTAGGATTTAGACAAAAAAATTTTAATACTTAAATTAGACTTGGGTCAAAAACTTCAACCCAAATTTAATTTGGGTTAAACTCGGGNTGGGCAACCGATTTTAATCCGAGTTAAATTCAAAAAAATTAGGATTTAGACAAAAAATTTTTAATACTTAAATTAGACTTGGGTCAAAAACTTCAACCCAAATTTAATTTGGGTTAAACTCGGATTAAGGTCTTGTGAACCCAAGTTCAACTTGAACCTGACAAATTTAAAAAAAAATTATATATATAAGTATATATAAAGCATTAGCACTAATTTTTCATTTTTGTTCTATCATTTTTTGTCTCTCTCGTTCTCTCAGTCTTTCTTGTTAAAAACTTGGTTAAAGTTATTAGTTGTTAATTTAGGTGAATATTATATAATATATGTATTAGGTTTAAAATAACAAGTTTATTTTGGGCTCTACCCGAATTAAACCAGTAAAATAACACGAAATCAGTCCGAAATTATTAACCCGAATTCAACCCGAACCTGCCTGAATTAAACTCGGGCAGTGCTCGGGTTGAGTTCCCCAATTCGAGGTAGGGTTAGGGTTAAGATTAAAGATTATGTTCCTAGGGTTAGGGTAGGATTAATTATCCAACCCGTCCAACCCGTCTGAAATACACCCCTATATTTCAATCGTTGCGAGATGCGCACGCATTTCAATCTTTTAAATAGGAAGAGGCCTAGTCAATTTGTCCTTTTGAATGGGAGAATCATAAAGCCCCAAAATTTTAGAGATCCCAATTAAATTTTCAATCCTATGTTATGGGACCCGTTGAATGAACCAGGCCCAATATACTTTACAAGCATTTAATGTAAAACATTCTAGAAAAGCTTAAAATGTAGCAAATTTTTTTTAAAAAAATCTAAAAATATTGATGTCTAACTTTAAAAGTAGCAATTTTTCAGCCTCCCACTCTCGTTGCCTCTTTTCAAGTCTTTCTTTCTCTCCCACTCTCATTGTTTTTCTTTGACTCTATGTCGTTATCTCTATCTCTCTTCGAGACTCTAATCAATTAATTCATCCTAACTTCACAATTTGCATCTATTTAATTGTCTGATGTTGTCCGATTTCAAAATCAATAATAAGTTGGAACTAAATTGCACCACAATTATCTATAAAATATCTAATAATTATACATTATATTTTCGTATTATTATCCTAAATATTAATAGGAATCTCATTTAAAATTCTAGTTTTAAGCCTCAATTTCTATTGGGTCACCATTGCTTCTCCATTTAACGGTCTGACTCTAATTTGATAGAAGAAAGACATTTATGACACCAACACTTAGCTAGACCCTTAAAAAGAATGAGTTGTCTTGTCCAGTTAAAGGAGAAGTCTAATATTTTATTGGAAAAATTTTAATCACACCTCTTCTAGTTTATCATATTTTTAAAAATACTCCTTCTAATTTTTAAATCTTCAATAACATCCCCTATCAGATTAAAAATATTCAGTAGAATGTAATTTTACTAAATTGTCCATGATATATTTGAGGACAAATTTTATCCACACTCCCTCTAGATAATCATATTTTCAATGAGACCCCCTCTAGATAAGTATATTTTTAATGAGACCCCATCTATTTTCTAAATTTTTTTACCTAATTAAATTTGAACCAATTAAAATTCAATTCAAGCTAATTAAAATTTATTTTTTTACATATTAAAATTTGTGCCAATTAAAAATTATATTTTTTTTACTTATTAAAATTTGGGCTAATTAAAATTTTGTATGAGCCAATTAAAAAATATTTTTAATCAACTCAAATCAAATTTTAATCAATTCGCATTGAATTTTAATCACCCATAATTTTAATATATCAAAATATATAAATTTTAATTGACTTAAATTTTAATAAATCGAATTTTAATAAGTTAAAAAATATAATTTTTAATCAACTCGAAAGAGAATTTTAATCGACACTAACAACTCAAGTAAAGTTCAAATTGACTCAAATTTTAATATGTAAAAATAAATATTAATAGGGTCGATTTTTTTTCAAATTTACGAATTAGTAAATAACAAATTATTTACTAAAATTGTTATTTATGAATTTTTTTTAAAATTCTAACAGCTCGAATTTTAATAAATTTTATGTAGAAAAATTACTTGAGGTTATGTAGGGGCATTTTTGGTATTTTAGATGAATTTGTTTTGTTAGAAATGGTAGTTTAATAGAAGAGGGTGTTAGTGATGTTTAAATTAAACTAGAAGGGGTGTTATTAAAGATTCAGAAACTAGAGAGGGTGTCCTTGAAAATATGATAAACTAGAGGGGGTGTGATTAAAATTTTTCCTATTTTTATTTGGTGACGGCATTGTCATTTCAAATGGGAGGAATTTCACTTTGACCCTTAAAAAATTGAAGATTTTTAACTTTATACCATTAAAGTTTAAATTTTTTATATTGCATCTCTAATATATTAAAAGTGTTATAATATAACTTTTTGGTTGCTTAATATATAAAAAATTACTCTACATATGTTGATGGAATAAGTAAAAAAAAAAATGAAAATATTATAGTATTTTTAATTAATACATTAAAGGTATAATATGAAAATTTTAATTATTAAAGATATAAAATAAAAAATTCTTAAATCTTTTGGGATACAAAGTGTAATTCACACTTTCAAATGATACGAACCTTCCTTTTAATCCCTGTACTCATCGTTATCATATCCAGAAGATATCTTCTCACTCACTTACTCTCCTACTGAACTTGGGATAGATGTTTCCCAAATATATACATGCGGAAAACAATTAGGGTTAATCAGAGAGAAAAGAAAGTTTACATCACTAGTTTGACCGACCGACCGACCGATACACTCGAAGATGACCATTATTCATGTTAGCCAACCATGGATTAGCCCTAATATGTCAGATAGGGCAGTATTTGATCTCGAGCGGCACCAAAAAATTGATATCAATGGTGTGTATGAGGATTTCAACAGATGATGAAAATTTGATCGATGATGCCATTGTTGATGTAAACCATGATGTGAATATTGAAGAACTGAGTCGTGCTATTAGTGAGTACATTAAGCAAATAGAAATAGTAGAGTTACCCCAAGAAAAAGAAAATGATGTATATCTAATACATCGTAGGGATGCATTCACGATGGCTAAATTAGCCTCCCTTCATTCGAAAGCATCACATGATGCTTATTTAATAGGGGATAACTTCTCTGCATATGTATTTTCGCTAATAGCAGATAAAGAAAGTCATGCAGCTTCATGCGAAGGCAGCCAAAGAAATATTAATTGTCAACATGTGGAAGTTAGATTTGCATGGTCTTCATGCAATGGAGGCAGTTCAAGCTCTAGAGGCACACTTGAAGATGATTGAATCTCAAGTTTCTACATCAGCTAGGCAGAGACGAAGATCATTATTGGTAATAACAGGCAGAGGCAATCACAGTCGGGGACAACCTGTCCTTCCAACAGTTATTAGAAACTTTCTCAGTGAGAATGGATATGACTATGACGACTCAGGACCTGGGGCGATCACAGTACGACCCAAGTTCAATCCAATTGCCAGTGAATGTCTACCAGTCGAATATTTACGNAGAATGGATATGACTATGACGACTCAGGACCTGGGGCGATCACAGTACGACCCAAGTGAATGTCTGCCAGTCGAATATTTACAAGAGTGGAATTATTTTCCTCTCTTGCAATTGCATGGATATATGGGAGACACCAGTTGTCTGGCGGTATAGAAAAGTTGATTGCATTAATTGCATAGTACTATTGTTGATCAAATCTATTGTTTTTGTTAGATTCCTACTGCAACCTAATATTAGACAGATTGAGAAACATATTATGAGCAATTGGCATTAATGATAGTTATAATAAAATTATCATTTCAAATTGAAGTTTTCTGTGTTAGTTTTTGAAATGTCAAGGTGGTTTTAATATAACTTCNTAATAAAATTATCATTTCAAATTGAAGTTTTCTGTGTTAGTTTTTGAAATGTCAAGGAAGTTTTAATATAACTTTGAGAATTTGAGCGTAATTTAACTTAATATAATTTCTTTCCTTTTATTGTGGGGTCGCTTATTGCTTTAAATTTTGCTGTTTGAGCAGAACTGTAGTCTTATATCAATGCATGCAATGTACTTGTTTGTTACATTTAAAGAACAATCATTTGTTAAATGCATTGCCACGTGATCATTAAATACAACTATACTTATGCTGTGGTTACATAAAACAACCAATTAGATGTACCAGACTGATTGAATTATGTATGCAGTGTAGAGATTATAGTTTCATCGGAACATATGATAACTTTACTAAAAGATCAATGTATCTGGTAATTCCTATTCATCCATCAAGTTCCATTTATTAAATGACTTGTCATATGGTGTGTAGCGCATTATAATACAACAGAACAGAACCCAATACGTCAATAAAAACAGAACCAATCGCTGATTCCATTTTGCACCAGCCAAAACAATGGTACTAAGATTTAACTTCTGTCGTGCGATATAACAAAATAAATGTTTTGGTCCCAAGATTCAGATATATACTAGTCAGAACCAAATGATCCTACAAATGAATCTGTTNTTTCATGCTGTTGCATCTGGTGAACCATTTCTAACACATTTTGTGGAGCCATCTCAAAAAGTACAATGGCATCCTGGCACGCCAATAGCTGTCACTAGCACAATTAAATCCCATGTTGTGCAGACTTTGCCAAACATAAGGTGGATACAATGAATGGTTTCAAAGTTCAACCAAATAGTAAGTCTTAACCAATGATACTGAGACCCTAAAAAAAACCCCATGTACCGGACTAGTATATCATTACGCAAATTCTACCACAAATTAACTAAATATCCTGATAGGCACAATTACATTTGATAATCACATAATAGCATGCTATCTGTTATCAAAGTTTTTGAGCTCAGAGCATAGGGCAGAATTCTAGTATATCCAATGTATATGACTGCAAATTCGATTACGAACAAGTCAATTGTAGTTGTTTAATGATCACAATGATCAAGATTCAGTAGATGCCTAAATAATTAGCTTATAAATACAAGAACAGATGGCAAAGAACTGTGCTATATACAAATACATGAATTCAAGTGTGTGTATTGTGATACACCAAGTAATCATAAATTGATACAATCAACAATGAAATAAAATATACCTATTTACATACAGCTTCCGCCAGCATCCAATTAGTGCCTTCCCTGATTGCTACGATATTACCAAATCATCATATGTCACTGGAGTAAGCTTGGTCTTGTACCTAATTCAGGTCTAATAGCCCAAATTCAAGTTTGAAATTTTAAAATGAAGCTCCAGAACTGCCTGGTGTCATAAAAACCAACACATAATCATCAAACTGTATCTTGGTAAAATTCAATGTACTGTGCACAAAAAGCTAATTAATTGAAATACAAAAGAAAGCAGAAACATAGTAACAGTGAAAAGAGAGACAAAAAGCTAACTTTACGTTTCTAGATACAAAGATTTGTAACGGAAAGCATAATCAATTTAGGATTGCATAGGGAGGAGGGCCCCTTCAATGTATTTATTTGCCATCTGTTATAGTTCATCATTATATTGCATTGGAGTACGAATTATTGTGCCGTGGAATATTTGCAATGTACCTAATTTAGGTCCAACAGTGGTCAATTCCCAGTTTGTAATTCTAAATCAAGCTCCAAAACTACCATCATCAAACAATATCATCTGAAAACGTAATGTACTGTGCACAAACAACCAATCAATTGAATACAAAAGAAAGTAAAAAAATAGAGTAACAATAACAGAGACGAAAAACCCTAATTTTACGATTCTACATACAAAAACCTGAGAAATTATAGAGAGAGAGAGAGAGAGAGTAATGAGCTTACATTCAGCAATAGGAATATCTGAAGATTTTGAAGCTGGCTTCTACACGTTTACAGATGATCAAAAGAAACGACGAACCCAGACGGAGGAGGCAACGGCGTAATTTGGACCCAGATTTTGTAAAGACTGGGTTCTATGGGCCTATTTCAAGGCCCATATTTGTTGGGCTCATTGGGTGGTTTAAATATGGGTAAAACGAAAGCTGAAACGAAAATTTGGATTTAATTGAAATAAATTATTACAAGGAAAGTTATTTGGACAAAAGTGCANTTGGACCCAGATTTTGTAAAGACTGGGTTCTATGGGCCTATTTCAAGGCCCATATTTATTGGGCTCATTGGGTGGTTTAAATATGGGTAAAACGAAAGCTGAAACGAAAATTTGGATTTAAATGAAATAAATTATAACAAGGAAAGTTATTTGGACAAAAGTGCATTTTTTTAAGAAAATGATCAAAAGACCATTCGTTAAAAGGAAAGAACAGACCTCATTTAGATGTCAAGCGACAATCTCAACTCCAATAAGGCATCAAACGATAAAAAAAAAAGTATTAAACTGAGTGTTCCTTCGTCTACGGTATTTTTGAAATTCAAATGAATTTGTGAATAGATTCTAAAGATAATACTAGGAAATAATCGTTTCAAACCCTATTGAATATGAAAAAGAGTTTTTTTTTTTTTAAAAAGGAGGAAGAACAAGATATTATATATTTCTTGTAACTGTTCGGCATTTTGGTTTTGTGTAACTGTTATTCATTGTCAGACNTTTAGATGTCAAGCGACAATCTCAACTCCAATAAGGCATCAAACGATAAAAAAAAAAAAAAGTATTAAACCGAGTGTTACTTCGTCTACGGTATTTTTGAGATTCAAATGAATTTATGAATAGATTATAAAGATAATACTAAGAAATAATCGTTTCAAACCCTATTGAATATGAAAAAGAGTTTTTTTTTTTTAAAAAAAAGTGGAAGACCAAGATATCATATATTTCTTGTAACTGTTCGGCATTTTGGTTTTGTGTAACTGTTATTCATTGTCAGACTCTTCTTCTCCAAACATTGAAGTTTGCCTTTAAGGTTTCAACCCTAATTTTCAATGGTTAGTTTTCAATTTTATTTTATTTTATTTTTTTGAAATTTTTGTTAGAAAAAACCCAAACTAAAATTAAAAAATATTAACAATTCCAAATGAAAATAACAAAGTTGAATTCTTTTATGTTGAATGCATATATAAAAAATTTAAATTTTAAAAAACACAAATTTTAAGAAGTTACAATAATATTTTGTTTGTTGTAACTNTTTATTTTTTGAAATTTTTGTTAGAAAAAACCCAAACTAAAATTAAAAAATATTAACAATTCCAAATGAAAATAACAAAGTTGAATTCTTTTATGTTGAATGCATATATAAAAAATTTAAATTTTAAAAAACACAAATTTTAAGAAGTTACGATAATATTTTGTTTGTTGAAACAGTGTGGAGTAACTATATTTGAGATTCAATGCATTTGATTTGTATATTTGTTTTGGGTAATTGGTTGGTGTTATAATTGACATTTGAATTGCCTAACAATACGAGTTTCTTTGTTTTTTTTTTAGTTCAGTTTTTTTGTTTGATAAAATCTATACCCGTATTTTGTGAAATCAAAATAATAAAATGTGAAATATTTTATCATAAATGCATGTATGTGGGTCACCCCTTTTTGAGTAGATATCATGAAAAAAATGATNTTGAATTGCCTAACAATACGAGTTTCTTTGTTTTTTTTTAGTTCAGTTTTTTTGTTTGATAAAATCTATACCCGTATTTTGTGAAATCAAAATAATAAAATGTGAAATCTTTTATCATAAATGCATGTATGTGGGTCACCCCTTTTTGAGTAGATATCATGAAAAAAATGACGATATTCTTGTTTTAAGAATAATCTTCTTTGGAATAAATACTTCGAGTAGATCTAATGTTAGTTGAAATAATCAAATAATATTATTGTAATTGTTGAATTTTTTCATTGGACCATACCTAACTAACACATTATTATGTTAGATATTTTATCAGATTATTAACTCCCAAATGTATTATTAGCAAAGATGGGAGATGAAGAAACTCTCTCTCTCTCTCTCTCTCTCTCTCTCTCTCTCGTGGACCAACATTTGGTATGGTTTTGCTATTATGTTTGGATAAGTAACAAATGAAAACCATTTTGAAAATTTAATTAATGGATATTAATGGGCAATGCTATAGAGATTAAGGACCTAATTAAATATTATAATTAGATTAATTATGAATTCTAATGTTAGATAGAGTCAAACTCTTAAAAAAATGTTATTTAGACCTAATCTGAGAACTTAATTTAATACAATCATTAGATTAAAGGTGGGCTTCATATAACATTGAAATTTATAATTAATTCAATGACTGCATTAAATTAGGTCTCTATAACATTGCTCTAACTTTTAATCCAACAACTGTAATTGATTAGGTTCTCAAATTAGTTCCGAATAAAAAAATTGGATACTAATGAAATCATTTCAAAAAGTAAAGTTTTATATTTTTTGTAATTTTAATATAAGTAATAACATATTGATTCACAAAATGTGAGACAATAAGAATAAATAACAACTCACAAACAAAATTAACAATTCGCTAGACCGCAGTTCAGGCAAAAAAATGAAATAAAATAAAATTAACAATAGAAAAATAGCTAGCCAATAATTACACTATTTGATATAAAATAATTTAATATTTATATTTGTGACGATATTTTTGGTAATATCCACAATACTATATGCATGTGAGAAAATGTTTGACCCAACCTTAGCATAAATTACAGATGCAAAAATAAAATGTTGAGT